TGGACTTTCATCTTTATACCTGCATATTGCATTTATCATTATTTCTAAAGTATTTACATGATTCATATGGGTTTTAATGGCTATATTCATTCATTTGTTGATCCGTTCATTTATTATTAAGTGTTTCCTATACTTGATGTTTAACCTGGTATAGAATGGTTGGAAGACTTACGGAGCTTACCGTGTAGTTGGGGAGGGAGAATTAATTAGAATAGTTGTACATATTTAAATGCTGTCAAAAAAAGAAAAGCTATTGGGTCATTGGGAAAGTCATGATGTATTTTTCTGTTTTTCAATGCAAAAATGCATCAAGACTTTCCCAACAACCCAATATATAGATCATTAGAACAGAATTGAGAACCCAGAAATAAACTCATATTTATGAACAGTTTTGTTTTTAAAAAATGGCCTGTAGTTAAGATCTGTGCACTGTGTGGGTATAACATGATTCAGAATTAAAAAGAAACCACCAATGAACAATTTATTTTTGATGAAGGTGCTAAAGCATTTCAGTGGAGAAAACATAGTTTTTTCAACAGATGGTGCTGGGTTAATTGAGTTTTTACATGCAGAAAGTCAATTTAGACCCTTATGCCATGTACAGTAATTAATGAGATATCACTTTATACGCATTAGAATAGTTATGGTCAAAAAGAAGGTAGACAGTAACAAGTGTTGGTAAGAATATGGTGACACCTAGAATCCTCATATATTGGTAGTGAGGATGTAGCCACTTGAGGAAACACTTCGACAGTTTCTTAAAAAGTTAAACAGTTTTACCCTATGACCCAGTAATTCCACTTGTACACATTTACCCAAGAGAAATGAAAACAAACGGGCATACAGAGATTGTACACAAATGCTTTGAGCAGCACTATTGGTACTAGCCTAAAACTGGAAACAATCTCAATGTCCAGTGAATGGATAAATGAATTGAATTGTATAGTGGATTGCTATTTGGCAATGAAAAGGAATAAAGTACTTATATATGCTACAACAAGGACAGACCTCAAAAACACTATGCTAAGTAGAAGAAGCAAGATAGAAACACCACATATTACATGATTTCATGTATATGAACTGTCCAGGAAAGAAAAATCGAGAGACAGAACAGACTGTTGGTCACTTGGGAGAAGGGATTGCCTGCAAACAAGGCATAAGAGAACTCTTTGTGATGATGAAATGTTAAAACTGGATTATGTTGGGCCGGCCGAGTGGCACGTTGGTTAAGAAGTGGCTTGGAATGCCAGAGAGCCCCGGTTCGGATCCCACATATGAGGACCAGTGACACTGCCCTCCACAGCTAAGATGCTGAACAACAGCTCAACCTGGAGCTGGGTTGCCGTGAGTTGCCAGCGTCAGCATAGGCTGCAGCCCCTGCTGCAGTGGGTTGCCATGGGCTACCGTATGTAGCCAGNAAAAAAAAACAAAAAAAAAAGTATTCATCTTTAAAAAAAAAATTAAGCAAGTCTTTTCACTCATTTAGCAGAGATACATGTCGTTGAATCCATGATGGTTAATTGGCAATTGTAATCTTTGGATTCAAAGATTATCCTGTTTTTCTTAGAAGCTCCATGTTGTCTTATTAACCTGTTGAAAACAAGTTGTTGAGGTGTTTTTTCGTAGGTGTCATTCTTCTGCCATCTGATAATTCTCTTGGACAGTTGCATATGAAAGCAGGAAAGCAGTGTTTGGGAGCAGTCTGCCCTGGTATTAAGGCAGTCTTCCTTATTGAAGAATAAAGAGGTGCACTTTATGTAGAGATTAAACTTGTTTGTAATCGCTGTGCACCAGCATTGTGCATAACATGAGTGGCAGAATCCTTCTTTCTGTCCGTAATGTGGACTGCTCTCAATTCTCCTTTTGCTTATACCACTGCTCTTCGCTGAGGTTATTTTATACTATATCATCCTGGGGTTTTTAATACCTATTATCTGAGAGTGAGGGCTAGAGAAAGGTTCCCTATCTCTTTTACGGAGTGAACAATAGGATTATCCCATTGGACGTCTTTTTTGTTTAGTGGCAGATTAATGTCACTTTGAGTCCCTTTAGAAAAATATTTTTTAGAAAGTCATTTTCAGTAGAATATTGACAAACGGGGCCATCTCCAGAGGTCATCAGCCAGGATGCTTAAAGATCTGGAACCTGCAGATTCTGAGACTGGGTAACCTGGAAGGAAAAACCAAGCAAGTAAGATTTAAATGATGCTGTGATAACTGTTTTCAAGTACTCGGAGGTCACTGAAGGAGAAAGGTTACACCTGTTTAGAAATGAAATACACTTTCATATGAAAGCTTTTAAGTTCTGGCATTGTTTGACTACAGACCATCAGCATGTTGAGGAGGGGTTGTGAGTTGAGGGAGTTCTCTACCTTTTCAGATCTCTTATAATTCAGAGATTTTATGACTCTCCCATTATTAACGTCTCTATCATAAATGATTGTTTAAAATCAGAATTGTGGGGTGTTATATTTTTAAAAGTGTATTTGAAAAATAATATAAAATCTTTTCTATTCTGCAGGACTTAAATACTATTTATTCTTATCTTCATGGAATGGAAATACTATCAAACCTCAGGGAACATCAGCTTAGGTAAGTGTAATGCTCTGTTGAAGAGCATGTGCTATGGAATTATTCAAATGAGTTTGGATAGATAGTTGCAGGGGCCAAGTCTTTTAGGGGCTTTTTATAGGCTAAACATAGAAATTTGCATTTCTCATCCCAGTTTTTCTTAGCTGAGGGACCTTGAGCAAGTCTTGACATGTAAGCTATAGTTTTATCTTCTATAAAATAGGGATAATAAGATTATCTTTGTTACAGTGTTTTGAGGATTAAATAATACAGTTGACTCTTGAATAACTCGGGGGTTGGGGCACCAACCCTCCCACATAATTGAAAATCCATGTATAACTCTTGACCCCAAATTATGTAACCGCTAATAGCCTACTATTGATCAGAAACCTTGCTATCATATAAGCAATCGGTTTACACATATTTTGTATATGTATTATATACTATATTCTTAAAGTAATCTAGGGGAAAATATTAAGAAAATCACAAGGAAGAGAAAATACATTTATATTACTTATTGAAAAAGATCCACATATAAGTAAACCTGTGCAGTTCAACCCACATTGTTCAAGGGTCAGCTGTAACTCTAAAGCAAAGCACAATGCTCAGTATGTGCTAGCCAGTGAAAACATACCTTTTCTTTTTGTAGTTCTTGTTGATATTTGCCCTGTCACATGCTCAAAGTGGGCATGACATGTAGTGTTGGATTAGAGTGGAAGAGGCAGGACTCCTGATTTAGTATAAGCTCCTGTGGACAAGACTTGTGAATTTTCTGGACCTCATTTTCCTCTTCTACAAAAGGAGTTTCTTCTCCTACTTACTAACTTATATCATTGTGACTATATTTGCAAAAACACTTTTGAGTGCAATAAAGCACTATTATAACTTTCCATAACATTTTAATTAAAATGTGTTTTCCTTCCATGACCAGCTTATTCTTGACTTTTTCTGGCTGTTCTTCAAGTTTTGGGTTATGGACCAAATTACTAAAATATAATTGTTTGGGATTTATTATTTTCTGTTTTCTATATAACATAATTCAGATGTTAGTATATGTCAAAGAAGAAGAAAAATGAAAACTAGAGCATTTAGTAATACTAAAAGTATTTTTTAAGTGAAAGCAAATTTACATATTTATTCAATAGATTTTTACTTTTTAAAATATTTTAGATTAATGTCTGCAAGAGCACGCTATGAGAGATACAGTGGCAATCAAATTCTTTTTTGGTAAGTATTTTCATAATTAGCTTAACAGAATTGCTTTAATGTTTAAACTTTCACTTTAGCATTGAAATTCATTTGATTCTGGAACAATTTCTGTAGAGCAGATTGAAATATATTCATAAACTGTGAAATATAACAGACATAGAGCTCACAAAATGTGTATAGTGTGACATAGTTTAACAAATAGGTACACCTGTGTGACTCCTACTCAGGGGAACATATGACTTCTATCATCATAGATCAGTTTTGCCTCTTTTTGAATGTCATATAGATAAAAATCTTTTGGTCATGCTTTTTTTTTACTTCACAAATGTCCAAAATTCCTTCTTTTTCATTGCTTTAGTTTACAGTTGTGTGAAGATAACACAATTTTTGTTTATCCTTTCCACCGTTAGTAGATATTTAGGTTGTTTGCAGTTTTTTACTATCATGAATATTAAAGTTTCGTTGGACATTTTGGTCATGTCTTTTTGTGCCCTTGTTTATTCTTATTGGCATATTCTTAGGAATAGAATTATTGGAAATGCACATGCTCAAATTTAGGAGATTCTAACATTAGAATCTAACATGGGCTTTTGTTATCTCATTGTCATTTTATTTTACATATCCCTGCTTACTAATGATGATGAATAATTTTCATGTTTTTATAGGCCCTTTGGATAGTTCTTTCTTGAAATCCAGATTCAGATTTTTGACCATTTTTTAATTGGGTTGTGTGTCTTTATTTCTATTTATTTGTAGAAATTCTTTTATAAATTCTGTATCTAAGGTTTTTGTTGGATACTTACATTGCATATATCTTCTCCCACTCTGTGGCTTTCTATCAATGGCATCTTTGAAGAAGAGAAGTACTGAATTTTCTCAATTTTCTCCTAGTGATTAGCACTTTGCATGTACAGTTAAAAACCAAAATTTATTCCTTCCTCAAGATTATGAAGCTAGTCTTCTCTTTTTTTTTTTCTTCTAAAAGTTTTGGCGATAGTGACCTCATTTATTATGTAGATTCAACAAGTACATTGGAATGGTATGGACTTTCATCTTTATACCTGCATATTGCATTTATCATTATTTCT